CAGGTTGTTAGGTAAGACACGTATGCAACAGTTAGGCGAAACGTTTCGAAATAAAGATACCTAACTGTTGCATATGTGTCTTACCTAACAACCTGTCGGTATTTTATATCATTTTAATGTTCAACAGGTCCTACCCATATTGATGGGTCGGTATTGTATACCTGTCTTGCACAACTTGTCAGACACTGCAACATCATAGAATCTTGGTTCAGAGGACATCTACAGGACCTTTTTCACGGCTGCTACAACTAACCCATCAATTTGGATAGGACCTACTTCCACTGGGGAATCCCGCCTACCATTGACTATGTACTCGTCTGCTACACGTCCCTATTCACTGACGCCTATATAAGCGCCAGACTCCTTGCCTTTGCTCCATTATTATTATTATAATCAAGGGGGAAGCGCTAAACCCGGAGGATTATACAGCGCCTGGGGGGGGATGTGGAAGGCATTCAGGCTTAATTCGGGGAACTGGAGCACAGATCCAATTCCCTAAATCAAGAGCCCCTCACCAACATCAAGGAACCTTCCTTGAGGGGCCTTTGCTCCAGAATCTCTACAACCACGATGCTGTAAACACCACCTCCAAGGCTGAGGTCCTGATTACCTCATCTTTTGTATATAGTTCTTCTGTTTTCTTGTTATGTCCAAGAATCTGTATTGATAAAGCCACTGGATGGCGAAACGTCTACAATAAAGATAACCAGATGTTGCACAAGTGTCTTAACTTTCATCCTTGCAATGTTTTCTCTTTTCTGGTTGTATGGTATTTTCCCTTCTGATTTGTATTTTGGAAATCTGCTTTTGTTGTTATTCTTCCTTATTTATTCCTATTTACTCTGCTCTCTTCCGTGTGATGTATCTGCATTTTGTCTTCCAGCGAATGCAAGTTGTTGCTGCAGTTGGTTATGCAGTTGTTTTGAATTGAGTGATCAACAATACTGACTTCCAAAACTCTCCCAAAGATTTTAATAACGTGTCACATCAACGCTATCAGTCTATACTTCTTTATTTCGTTAATGTTTGGTGTCTTAAATTGACGTTTCTGAAGCTATAATTAAATTATAGTTTCTCTCTTTCTCTCTCTAGTTCCCATTTCTACACCTCCGGATCTGTATGAATATTTACGGGTCCTCCTGGGGGAGAGGAGGGGAAGGCTTTCTACAGAACTAGACTTTCTACCTCGCGGGCTGTCTGATCATTCCATTTCCTGTCTAAATGAACCCTATTTTGAGTGTGTGTGTGTGTGTGTGTGTGTGTGTGTGTGTGTGTGTGTGTGTGTGTGTTGTGTGTAGCAATGGTGCATCTGTATGTGTGTGTGTGTGTAGCAATGGTGCATCTGTGTGTGTGTGTGTGCGTAGCAATGGTGCATCTGTAGCAATATTTATATACACTGTCCATTTGTAGTAATGGTACCTTTGTAGAAAATGTTTTTGTAGCAATGGTACATTTATACAAACTGTGTATTTGTAACAAAGGTACCTTTCTGATGATCCAATACACTTCGAAGTGAATGGGCAGGTTTCCTCTCATTTGTTGTACCTGTTCCCCTAACAGTAAATAAATACTAGTGCGTTAATCTAATTATATCTACAGCCCCTGTTCACCAAGCAGTAAGTAGGTACCAGGATGTTAGTCTACTGGTGTATGTTACTGCTGGAAGTGGTAATATAACTTAGATATTATTGGGCTTTCTTATGAGCCCAAGTTATCATTTTTATAATTAATATCATGGTTGGGAAGCACTCAACCAGCAGTGGTTGAATGGGATTGGTAGGTACTCAGGTTTGATGCGAGGAAGTGGGACGGATTAAGAGCCTTTAAAAGGCATGAAGGAAGAAAGGGTGAGCTGAGGCAAGGTGACAGCTATTACTCACGTGTACCTGGAGAGGGTTTCGGGGTGTCAACGCCCCCGCCGCCCGGTCTGTGACCAGGCTTCGTTCATCTGTATGTTCATCTGCTGTACAATTCATTTTGGTGTGACTAAAATAATGGATTTGTTTTACAGACTGGAGTTTGGGTCTGATTAAAATAATGTAAATATTTCTTAGTGAAGACTGAATCACTGGGAGCCAGTTTGACGAGGATCAGATCAGATTACATATGGATCTGGACAGGCTGTAAGCCTGGTCCGACAAATGACTCGTAGAGTTTAACCCTACCACGTGCAAATTCATGAAGCTCGGGGTTAGGGCAAAGAAGACCACAGACGGAGTACAGGCTAGGGGATCAAAGGCTGCAAACCTTACTCAAGGAAATGACTCTGATCTGCCACAGACACTCATCGCCCACCATCAATGTCCGTGGTCTGCACACTCTCACAGAAGAGTAGACACCACCTCCATGGTTATATCACTTAGGTTCCCAAGAAAATTGTTTTCCCTGACACTTTCTAACAAACAATAAGGAATAGAATGTAATATTAACTCTTCTATCATACTCGAATTATATTAAAAAAAATAAGACGCAGGTATATTATAATTATTAATAAATCACAGAACGAGTAGGACTCGAACCCACGGCAGACTAGTCAAAAACTAATAAATTAATGTTAGATTTAAATTCACAATGACCAAAAACCTCTCATGGTTATATAGTACCATGTATTAAGGTAATATATAAGGATGCAAGGACCTTGAATGATTCTTGCATCAAGGACCATTCAAGGGCTGTCAGTGACCTTGAATAATCCTTGAATGGTTCTTGTATGTACAGATCCAAGGAACCTACCATGGTCCTTGGATCAATAGACCTTCAACTGCAACAATGCACTTACCTTAAATGATTCTTGGAACTAGAGACTGTCACCTGCATAAGGCAGGTCCTAGCATCAAGAAACCATCACCTTCATCACCTACTTTGAATGGTCCTTGTATCAAGAGACTTTTAGCTACATCAAGGCATCTACCTTGAATGGTCCTTGTATCAAGAGACTTTTACCTCAATTAAGGCATCTACCTTGAACGGTTCTTGTATCAAGAGACTTTTACCTCAATCAAGGCATCTACCTTGAATGGTCTTTGTATTAAGAGTCATTCACCTGCATCAAGGCATCTACCTTGAATGGTCCTTATATCAAGAGACATTCACCTGCATCAAGGCATCTACCTTGAATGATCCTTGTATCAAGAGACATTCACCTGCATCAAGGCATCTACCTTGAATGGTCCTTGTATCAAGAGACATTCACCTGCATCAAGGCATCTACCTTGAATGGTCCTTGTATCAAGAGACCTTCACCTGCATCAAGGCATCTACCTTGAATGGCAGTACTTGTGCAATTGGAAAATAATTTAACTCATCCCAGATCATAATACAAAACTCTTAATGTCTGTGGTACGAGCTTCTTATGTAGTGTTCATTATCACTGCTACAGTTATTACTGTGAGAGAAGATTGTATGTGATTATCAACAAGCTGAAGATGTTCAAGTCACAGTAATCGAAAACTTTCTTCAGATAAAGTCTTGTCTGTACAACAGGTGTATATAGTTTGAAAAAAAAAATATCCTTACCCGAAATTTTCTACCTTACCGATACTACTGTTGTAATAAAGTTGGTAGAATTACCGACAATATGTAAAGTAAAAGGACACAAGTGCAACTAATGTGACATTTATTGTGGCAACGTTTCGCTCTCCAGGAGCTTTATCAAGCCTCCTGGAGAGCGAAACGTTGCCACAATAAATGTCACATTAGTTGCACTTGTGTCCTTTTACTTTACGATACTACTGTTACTAGTACTACCACCACCACCATTACTGCTGCTAGTACTACTACTACTACTACTACTACTCCTACCACTTACAGCAATTATATTATGTTTTTACATCTCGGTCTAATACCCTGTGTGTCCCTGAGATACTCAGAACTGTTGTAAAATCCCTAGTGAATATATGCATGATGGACAAAACAGGGTCCATCCCTTTATTTTCTAACTTCCCCGACCATCCAATACAGGCCCAGAGGCGGCAAAAAGAGGTTTGATGTTGGCAATTTGAGGAGGAGTAGATCTTGGTAAGACCATTTCTTGGATGCAATCCCGAAGAAAATTGTGTCTGTTGCGAAGTGAGAAAGCTTTTAGAAGAAGGTCCAGGTATTCTCTGTGTGAAGGATTCATTTCTACTGCAGTGTTTGACACGATGGAAATAAATGGTATAAAATACCAGTGGAACGCGCTTGGGCTACAGCAAGGACCTGATCGTGGCCACATAACACTGAAATAGAGCGACATCATCTCCCTCGAGTTTCTCGGACGGGTCATCTCAGGATTAACATCCATGTCAGGACGCAGTTCCCGACGAATCAATCAATTAATCGACCTGTATTGTTTGTAACGGCTTGGCAGAGGTCCTGGAGAGCGAAACGTTGCCACAATAAAAGGACTCATTAGTCGCACATATGTCCTTTTGCCTAACACTATTAAACGTTATCCAATTTTGCAAAAAAAACTGTTTATCATGTCGAAATAAAGTATTTATTTTTTATTTACTTTGTGAGAAGAGACCAATAGACAGAAGCGCGAGGAATGGTCAGGTGAGTAATTAATTTGCAAGACATCTGAGTTGATGAGATGTTTGTAGTACTTGACACTTCCCCAGGATGCGGCCCACGACTTTCCAGTATCAACTTAGGATTAGAATGCAGCACCATTCGATTGTGAGCCGACTGCGCTGACCATTGCGCTACAGGTCACCGCACAGGTCAGGCTTTGCTCAACAAATGTATCACAAAGGGATTGGCAAATAATAGTATTTTGCTGAACATATACCTATCTGTAATTCTAAGGGACTGAACACCTTCAAAATCTTTCGCTTATATTCAAAGCAAAAAAACTGAAGTCTTTCAGAAACGTATACACAGTAAATTACTGTAGTTTGCCACACCCAATAAATAAATCTTGTAATCAACCAACTCCTGAACTACTACCACAGCATCTGACCTCTAGTCGCTCCTCTCTACATACTCTCCTCTCCCAGGTATGCTCTACTGACTTTAAAAAGTCTGTTGTAAAGGCGAATCATTGTCAAAGTAAACTTTCCAACAGCTTCTCTTGTGAGGGTATTGTTACTATCATTGGTAACAGAGTTCCTATAGTTCTACAGGCTAATGGCGTACAGTAGAGTGCAATGAAGTTAATACATTTATTCAGAATACTCATGACTCATGAAATCGTAATAACACGATTGGAAACAAAGCACTGAATGGGTGGTTAAGATTCCTCAAAATACATTACAGCTAATAAGCGTTTTTATTCATGTCACTTGAAAATAGACCCCACGAGGGGAGAGCGAGCGCTAAGCTGTGAGATTGATCTCACCTGTCATGGCAGTAATAAGACTAGCAAGATCCTACAACACGATATCAACAAATGAATTTTGATGTATCTCAAGTAAGGAAGAATCTCTGATGAAGATCGTGTTGATGGGTCTTCTGGAGACGGTGGTTTGGCTTGCGGAGTGGTTGTGTTTAGGGGGCGCTGTAGGTCCTTTCAGGGGTAATGAGAGGGTTTAGAGCTCCAGAATTTCCAAAGCCTCCAAGAGACGAAGCTCCGAGGCCTCCACTTCTAAAACCGACAGAGCTTCCAGGGATACCTCCAAGAGTGCTGCTTCCTACGCCTCCAGAAGCGCTTCGAAAACCAGATGAGCTGCCAAAGCTTCCTTGCCTTAAGCCTCCGAAGCTTGCAGATGACTCTCCAAAGTTCCTGCTAGTAGCACCAACAAAACCAGTTGAACTTCCAAAGTTCGATCCAGCTGAGCTTGTGAAGCCTCTAACGGAAGAACCGTCATATGTTCCAGTTGAAGTACCTCTGGTTCCAAAGCTTGCCCTACTCGATCCTGCAAAGCGTCCTCCAGATGAACTACCAAATCCCGTGCCAGAGGCTCCAGAATTATCCACGTATGATCCACGTACACCTGCAACAGCTGCGGCGGCGTCTTCCTGACGAGCTTTCTCGATCTGGGCGACAGCGTGGGCGGGAAGAGGTGGCAGAAGAGGAGACTCCACACGGTAACCACCTTCATCTGCTATGAACTTGAAATCAGCAGGAGTTCCATCCGGGTACGTAAATCTGAAATGCATGAATTTCCTATAAGTTTATCATTTGTGACTTTTTTTTTTTACACAACGGCCGTCTCCCACTGAGGCAAGGTGACCCGAGAAAAAGAAGAAATGTAAAGTTTTCTTCTTTTTACAATTAGTAATTTATATAGGAGAAGGGGTTACTAGCCCCTTGCTCCCGGCAGTTTAGTCACCTCATACGACACGCATGCCTTACGGAGGAAGAATTTTTCTCCACTTCCCCATGGAAGTTGTATCATATATAAAGGGAAAAATACTTTATATGTTTACTATTTTATGTTAATGTGATGGAGAGTACTTACGACCAACCTCCCTGGACTGATACTGCGCCAGTCTCGCTCTTAGAAACGCCCTGCTCCTGACGGCTGACACCGTCACCGGTCTCGTAGTTGAAGTTGTAGTTGCCGAACGCATCAGGACCCTGACGATCGTCCTTTAGAATGGGGGATACAGGTCCTGTAAGTCCAAAACTTCCACTAGTACTTCTCCCAAAGCCCACAGCAGTCTGTCCTCCGAAGCCTGAAGCAGTTGAGGCTCTTGTGAACCCTGTTGTCGCTCCACTGAAGCCTCCGAGAGCAGAACCTCCGTATACTCCAGCAGCTGATCCCCTAGTGCCTCCTGATCTTAAGCCTGAAGTACCGACTAGTCCCCCACCAAATGAACCTCGTTGAGATACACCTCCAAACCCTCCATCAAACTGTTTGCTTCCGAACTGGGAAACACTAGTCAGCCCTCCTAGGCCTAAGCCTGTCGACGCTCCAAACCTTCCACCACCAAAGCCATCAAACCCTCCAAAACCCACGCCTCCACTCCCTCGAGTACTGAAGGATGGAGATGGAGTCTGCCCGTAGTCGTACTGCTGCTGCGCTGACACTACCACAGCCACTGCCACACCCAACACTACTTTCTGCGGAAGGAATAACAAATAGTCGAATACTCGTGTCTTGTAGTGTTAATATATTTATCACCTAACATAAGATCTTGACATTATTCTGTGATAATAAATTCATGTCTGAAATATTATATTTCGTCGTTATTCTGAATTTACTCACAGTTTTTAATGATTGATATCGTTTTGCTGTATTTGAAGACAAACTACAATCATGTTTGTGTTGATTCCGATGGATAATAACAGAATCTTAGACTCAAGATAGCTTAACATCTGAAACAGAAGTTGAACTACTGACACTTAATGCTAGGCAAACTAATGAATAGATGGATAGGAAAAATAAATGTATCCGCTTTCTCTTTCTTTCTCTCACATACATATACACACACACACACATAGAGAAAACATACAGAGAGTTTGCATTAATCCCTATTTTAAGTATCAAAAGTCTTCTTGACTGGTGGTGAACGGGTTACAAGCGGCCTTAATTCTTGACTGGTGGTGAACGGGTTACACGCGGCCTTAATTCTTGACTGGTGGTGAACGGGTTACACGCGGCCTTAATGATCCTCGTGCAGTTGATAGGCTTTAATACCAATGAATCTTCCAGTATCTTTGAAACCTATTTAAACTGCTGCCAAAGACTGACACCTATTGAAACTGACACCTATTGAAACTGACACCTGCTGAAACTGACATCTACTGAAGCTGACACCTATTGAAACTGACACCTACTGAAACTGACACCTACTGAAACTGACATCTACTGAAATTGACACATATTGAAACTGACACCTACTGAAACTGACATCTACTGAAACTGACACCTACTGAAACTGACACCTACTGAAACTGACATCTACTGAAACTGACACCTACTGAAACTGACACCTATTAAAACTGACATCTACTGAAATCGACACATATTGAAACTGACACCTACTGAAACACCTATTGAAACTGACACCTAGTGAAACTGACACCTATTGAAACTGACACCTACTGAAACGACTTTGGCACCTATGAAACACTATTGAAACTGACACCTACTGAAACTGACACCTTTGAAACTGACACCTACTGAAACTTACACCTATTGAAACTGACACCTACTGAAACTTACACCTATTGAAACTGACACCTACTGAAACTGACACCTATTGAAAGTGACACCTACTGAAACTGACACCTACTGAAATTGACACCTATTGAAACTGACACCTACTGAAACTGACACCTATTGAAACTGACACCTACTGAAACTGACACCTATTGAAATTGGCACCTATTGAAACTGACACCTACTGAAACTGACACCTATTGAAACTGACACCTATTGAAACTGACACCTATTGAAACTGACACCTACTGAATTATCTTGAAACACTAACGACTTAAGGAAGATGAATTTCATTAATCACTAACTAGCTCAGTAACTAACGCTTAATGTCCTCATTCGTTACTAGTATTAATTGTTATTATTGTTATTTGCATTTTGATTCATATTGAAATCGTAGAAAAAAGCTAAACCCGTATGGGTCACACAATGCCTGGCTAATGGGAGGTAATCAGGTCTGGTCCCCCAGAGAGGGGGGGAGGTAGCTCCAGTGCCATGGATCAAGAACTCTTCGCCAGCAACCAGGCGCCTCCCTGGAAGAACTCCGAGCAAGTTTCCACAGAATACTTTATAGGGATTACTAAGGATTATTTTATAAGGATTACCACTGATTACTTTATAAGGATTACTAAGGACTCGTTGACTCTTCCTCACAATTTTTTTTTTGTGTGTGTAATTGACGTGTCTCCTTTTTCTCGCAAATGGATCTCAGGTGAGTAACAGAACAAATGAGTGTCAGGTGAGTCAGACGAGTCTTGGGTAAGTCCCAGATGAGTTACAGATGGGTTTTAAATGGATCATAGATGAATATCATACAGGACTGAGACAGCTCTAACTCATTTACTTCCGAACGCTTGAAATGGGTTTACCATTAACCATTCCATAGATCTACGATACGTTACGGCGGTCTGACGCAACCCTCCTCGTCTACGACTAACAAATCAGCTTCATTTAACGTCGTCACAAGGCTACCACTTACCGTCAACATGCTGTTACAGTGACAGAGTCGAACTGAATGATTCTGTCTGACCATTACCATCTTATATACACTGCTGCTCTAGTCCCCTACACTGCCCTTTCACTACAACCAGACTATGCTTATGCCAGGACCTTGGGGAAGGCCAGAGGGAGGAGTTGAGGAAAGTAGGGGGGGAAGGGAGGTAAGGAGGGCTGGGGAGATCGAAGTGTGTAAGGAATTCAAAGAGGCTGAGATAAATAGGGAAGAGTTAAAGGGAATCGAGATGATATGAAGAGAGGAGCTCTTTTAAAAGATACGGTTTCATCCCGGTGGAGGGCTTTCGATCCAAGGAACTGCAGCTACCCCTCTCGTTCCTCTTTATATGTCCCATACAAGTTAGTGCTACCCATTAATAATAATAATAAGAAGCAGAATAACAACAGCAACAACCACAATCACAATAACAACAACAATCACAACAACAACAGTCACAACCACTACAGCAAAAACTACACTAATAATAATAATATTGAAAGGGAGGAGTAGAAGAGAAAAATACTTCTATTTACTTAGGAAATAGATATTAGATCCTTCAGTTGTGGATGAGATTCCCGGAGCTCGTCCTCCACTGATGCCAGATACTGGAGCTTATCTTGGCATGATGTCTGATATTTCATGCTCATTTTAAGCAGATGTGAGGTTTCTGGTGTTCATCTTGGCCTGATTTCATGTGTCCGAACTTCCTTTAGATCTGATGACAGGTTCTGAAGCACATCTTGTCCTGATATAAGCTCTACAGAGCTCATTTTGTCCTAGTGTCTTGCTTCTGGAGCTCATCTCTGCTTGATGTCAGCTCAGTGGTGCTCATGTCTGCCTGATGTCAGGTACCTAAGCTCATCTAAGTTTGACGTCAGGCTCAAGACCTTATTTTAAGGACAACTGGTTTCAGCTGTGATGTTTGTCCTGTATTTTTTATTTCGGAATCTATGGTAAATACTCTCTCTTCCTCCCTCTCTCTGTATCTCTCTATCTCTCTCTCTCACCAGATCTAGAGATCAAGAGTTCCTCAGAGATCAGTCCATTATCCAATTATTTTCACAATATTTATAAATGATATTGAATTACACGTAGAATTTAAAAGAAAGAAAAATATGCTATATATTCAAGAATCCAAGACTCCTTAAGTGTATGGTATCCAGATGAACCTGGAAAGGATGGAGCAGTTTTGGAAGACATGTAACACATGTGAGAAAACAATACCTGAGGGGTATAACAATCTGGAACACGAGTAAAAAATATTCCGAGACAAATTAGGAACTTAAAAATGAAGGGTTGAGCCTTGGAGTAATCGTAAGCAATGACCTTTAGTATAGTAAACAATGTCTATGTCCGAGCAGCCAAGCCAGTCGAATGCTAAATTTTCAGCTGGTATATTCCAGTATACTCTCACTCTCATTAAGAAACAAACCTTTGAAAAGAGGCTCGTGGTTCTAAACCCTTTCTCGCGTAGTATACAAAATTCTACCAGGAGATCTCATTATTACCTTTATGATACTATTTGAAGTTCATTGTTTTCCAGCAACTCGGTAAAAATGAAACGATACTTCGAGACAAGAGGTGCAACATAAATGTGAGTGAAAGTTTTTTTATGCACACAGTTTCAGATCACTGGATCGAGTTACATTCCAGTGTCTAATGTGTATTATACAGTACTCTTATGTTACCGTTGAAAAAAAATAATTTTTCATGCATATCAATATGATTTTGTAATTTATTTCAAGCACATAATTGATACTGCTTCACAGTTTTTGGTTGACGAAGATTTCGAAATGTATTTTTCGTTATCAGAGTTCGTATGTTCTCAGCAACACACTCTGGGAACAACCATGTTGTTCGTGACGTCTAGTGTTGTGCTTCACACACTTCAATTTCCCTGAAAATAAATCAATTTCTACTTGATTTGTGCTAAACTGATTCCGTCTCTTGTTCTTTTAGCTAACGGAAAATTTATTATTACTAAACACTGCTGGGAAAAAGTAATGAACTGAATTAACCGAATATCAATAATCTGGTTAATTTGAATTTCATGAGTGTGTACGAGCCCAAGGTTGTATTATAACTACACTGAACTAGAACAGTGTGCTATAACTTACACTGAACTAGAACAGTGTGTTATAACTTACACTGAACTAGAACAGTGTGTTATAACTTACACTGAACTAGAACAGTGTGTTATAACTTACACTGAACTAGAACAGTGTGTTATAACTTACACTGAACTAGAACACTGTGTTATAACTACACTGAACTAGAACAGTGTGTTATAACTACACTGAACTAGAACAGTGTGTTATAACTTACAATGAACTAGAACAGTGTGTTATAACTACACTGAACTAGAACAGTGTGTTATAACTTACACTGAACTAGAACAGTGTGTTACAACTACACTGAACTAGAACAGTGTGTTATAACTACACTGAACTAGAACAGAGTGTTATAACTACACTGAACTAGAACAGAGTGTTATAACTACACTGAACTAGAACAGAGTGTTATAACTACACTGAACTAGAACAGTGTTATAACTTACACTGAACTAGAACAGTGTGTTATAACTTACACTGAACTAGAACAGTGTGTTATAACTACACTGAACTAGAACAGTGTGTTATAACTACACTAAACTAGAACAGTGTGTTATAACTTACATTGAACTAGAACAGTGTGTTATAACTACACTGAACTAGAACAGTGTGTTATAACTACACTGAACTAGAACAGTGTGTTATAACTACACTGAACTAGAACACTGTGTTATAACTACACTGAACTAGAACAGAGTGTTATAACTACACTGAACTAGAACAGTGTGTTATAACTACACTGAACTAGAACAGTGTGTTATAACTACACTGAGCTAGAACAGTGTGTTATAACTACACTGAACTAGAACAGTGTGTTATAACTACACTGAGCTAGAACAGAGTGTTAATAACTACACTGAACTAGAACAGTGTGTTATAACTACACTGAACTAGAACAGTGTGTTAATAACTACACTGAACTAGAACAGAGTGTTATAACTACACTGAACTAGAACAGTGTGTTATAACTACACTGAACTAGAACAGAGTGTTATAACTACACTGAACTAGAACAGTGTGTTATAACTACACTGAACTAGAACAGATGTTATAACTACACTGAGCTAGAACAGTGTTTATAACTACACTGAACTAGAACAGTGTGTTATAACTACACTGAACTAGAACAGTGTGTTATAACTACACTGAACTAGAACAGTGTGTTATAACTACACTGAACTAGAACAGTGTGTTATAAACTACACTGAACTAGAACAGTGTGTTATAACTACACTGAACTAGAACAGTGTGTTATAACTACACTGAACTAGAACAGTGTGTTATAACTACACTCAACTAGAACAGTGTGTTATAACTACACTGAACTAGAACAGAGTGTTATAACTACACTGAACTAGAACAGAGTGTTATAACTTACACTGAACTAGAACAGTGTGTTATAACTACACTGAACTAGAACAGTGTGTTATAACTACACTGAACTAGAACAGTGTGTTATAACTACACTGAACTAGAACAGTGTGTTATAACTACACTGAACTAGAACAGTGTGTTATAACTACACTGAACTAGAACAGTGTGTTATAACTACACTGAACTAGAACAGAGTGTTATAACTACACTGAACTAGAACAGTGTTATAACTTACACTGAACTAGAACAGTGTGTTATAACTACACTGAACTAGAACAGTGTGTTATAACTACACTGAACTAGAACAGTGTGTTATAACTACACTGACCTAGAACAGTGTGTTATAACTACACTGAGCTAGAACAGTGTGTTATAACTTACACTGAACTAGAACAGAGTGTTATAACTACACTGAACTAGAACAGTGTGTTATAACTACACTGAACTAGAACAGAGTGTTATAACTACACTGAGCTAGAACAGCGTGTTATAACTACACTGAACTAGAACAGTGTGTTATAACTACACTGAACTAGAACAGTGTGTTATAACTACACTGCACTAGAACAGTGTGTTATAACTTACACTGAACTAGAACAGTGTGTTATAACTACACTGAACTAGAACAGAGTGTTATAACTACACTGAACTAGAACAGAGTGTTATAACTACACTGAACTAGAACAGAGTGTTATAACTACACTGAGCTAGAACAGTGTGTTATAACTACACTGAACTAAACAGTGTTTATAACTACACTGAACTAGAACAGTGTGTTATAACTACACTGAACTAGAACAGTGTGTTATAAACTACACTGAACTAGAACAGTGTGTTATAACTACACTGAACTAGAACAGTGTGTTATAACTACACTGAACTAGAACAGTGTGTTATAACTACACTGAACTAGAACAGTGTGTTATAACTACACTGAACTAGAACAGTGTGTTATAACTACACTGAACTAGAACAGTGTGTTATAACTACACTGAACTAGAACAGTGTGTTATAACTACACTGAGCTAGAACAGCGTGTTATAACTACACTGAACTAGAACAGCGTGTTATAACTACACTGAGCTATAACAGTGTGTTAAAACTACACTGAACTAGAACAGTGTGTTATAACTACACTGAACTAGAACAGTGTGTTATAACTACACTGAACTAGAACAGTGTGTTATAACTACACTGAACTAGAACAGTGTGTTATAACTACACTGAACTAGAACAAAGCATTATAACTTACACTGAACTAGAACAATGTGTTATAACTACACTGAACTAGAACAGTGTGTTATAACTACACTGAACTAGAACAGTGTTATAACTACACTGAACTAGAACAGAGTGTTATAACTACACTGAACTAGAACAGAGTGTTATAACTACACTGAACTAGAACAGTGTGTTATAACTACACTGAACTAGAACAGAGTGTTATAACTACACTGAGCTAGAACAGTGTGTTTACACTACACTGAACTAGAACAGTGTGTTATAACTACACTGAACTAGAACAGTGTGTTATAACTACACTGAACTAGAACAGAGTGTTATAACTACACTGAACTAGAACAGTGTGTTATAACTACACTGA